CCCCAGAGGTCTTTTCCAAGCTAACCCATTCTGTGATCCTGTGGAGCAGAGCTGCCAGGTCCCCAGCACAGTGAGGGGCGACTTCTCTGACATAGCCTGTTCTCCACAGGAAACTGGGTTTGGCTACGTTGACTATTATTTTTCCAAAACACCATACAAATGTTTTTCCACTTGCATTTCTATAGCTTTTACTCTCTTCTGGAGCCTTCACCATGCCCATGGGTTGGAATTTGACGTCTGCCAGGCAAACCTTAGAAAACTCCCTTTCCTCTCTTTGCATTTATGCTACCACCCAGAATAAAGTATTTGCATTTTGGACCCTATTGTTGCTTTTGCAGTGGAAAGCTCTAAAAGGCATCAAGGGCCAGTTAGGCAGAGACAAGTCATGCCAAAAAGCAGCAGTCCCTGCACAGAAGGTTTTGCAGATTTGTGGCTGGATTATGCGGATTAATTTGTAAACACAACATCTCAACACCTAGCACTGGATAGAAAGGGTCACTAATGGGTCAATCTTCCTTTTCCACATAGGAAATTCTTTACAAGTTTACTACACTGTGCTCTTTCCCTTTGGTATCTGAGCCTTTAGAGTGAATTCAAGTCACATTTTTTAAGTTTTCCCCGTACAGCCGTGAGGTTAGATTACTTTTTTTGTTTTCCTCCGGAAGTTTCTAATGCAATCCCATGACTCTGGGAACTGGAACTTTGAGGAAAAAGCCAAATATGATGAGGCACATTCAAACCATGAGCTCTGTCAAACAGATCCGCACAGATTTCGTGCTGAATGTCTGAAAAACTGAGGTCTGACTTTTCAATGTAGGAAGAGTAGCAAAAAGATTCCAAAATGAATTGCTATGAATTAACATGTACATAGGTAAATGCTTTTATTTATAAGCTTTGATCCAGATTTTCAGTGGAAGACTTCAGGCTAAGCAGCTGCCAGGGCAGCATTTTCAAAATAACCTGCTCCAGCAATACCAAAGCAAGGCTGGAAAATAAAGTGGAATTCATGGCTGTGTGAACAAACACCATTCCACTTCAGCTCATCACACATAAAAAATTAAAATTAATAATGTTAGTAGAAAGACTGATTAGATTTGTGTTTAACATGTGAGTCAAATGGAGACTTTGTGGATGAAAGGGCAAAAGGTTAAAGACTGTAATGGGCACAGAGTTGATAATCTCTCTCAAACTGGACACTGCAATATATCCAGCCCAATTAACTGATCTCAGAGCCAGGTCATGTGGAATAAATTAATTAACCTCAGTATTCATGTAGATGCTAAAACATGGAATAACATTTTCTCTCAGTCTGGGATGCCTTGGAATGTGTTTCTCTTTTGAAACTAAGTTTTGTTTTGTCCTTAAATAGTTAAAACCAAAAAATGAAGATTTCTACCATGCTATAATCCTGCTTCATTATGAAAGCAAAGAACCTAGCACACAATCCTGAACTGAGAATAAAAATGGATGAACTCCACTTTAATTAATTTTCACTTCACCCAGTTTGTTAACAAGGCACAGACACTTGCATTCAGCGTGCTCATCTCTTCACATCCGTGTTTGGATTTCCCATCCACGGGGCAGGAGGTTTTAGCTGCAGACCCTGCTCAGCCTCACCTCTATCTCTGTCACCCTCAAATCACTCTGCACACCAGTTTCAGAGGAGGGTGGAAATGCCAGTGGTTAGGCACTTTCTTGAGAAATGGGTTTCAGCCTCAGGTGGGAACAGAGTTCCCACAGCATATAAATGTCTGCTACATGAGAAGGAGGCACTGTAAAGAGCCAGGTATCTTTTCATGCCCAAAAGCACGGCTTAGTCCAGGAGGGAACCTACATCTAGGATATCCTAGCTAAGGAATGTGCCTCCCATGTGGCACACTGCAGATACCTTCCTCAGGCACCACACTGTGAATGCCACACAGACTCTGGATACAGCAGAGTCTCTGAGGTGCCCCAAAAATATTTGAAAGGCCTGACTTTAAAGCTGACTGCTACTCCCATGTGCAGTCCACCAAAGCTGGGACCAGTTCAGCTGTGGGCAAGGGCAGGACTTGAAATTCTAGAGAAAAGAAGGGAATAACCAGATCTTTGCATAATGCTCTGTGCTGCACGAAATACACATGGAATGATAACTCCCAGAACTCCCAGGCTCTGCAAATAGCAAAATATTTTTCAGTCCTATTTACTTGGTAGTACAAAGAAAAACATTTCTTTTTTTTTTCCTCCTGGGCATGTAACCCAGGATATACCATCCAACATGAAGAGCACCAGCAGCTCAGATCTTTTTAATTAAATGAGTGTGATGTCTCTTTTGTAAGTTCAGCAAGAGGTCTGGCTCCCTGTCCATGTCATTTAGTGAGATGTAACACTTGTGGATGTGTCTGGAAAGAGCCCCACATACATCAGCTGACAGCAAAGTAATCAGTCCAGAGACCCAGGTTAAACCTCTCTCCACTCTTTGCATCTCAAAAACCACACGCTGAAATTCAAACAAAGGCTGTTAAAAACGGGGTGGGGGGGAAGGTTTCCTTTCCTGTCACATGATAAATTAGATCCTAATGTTTATCCAAGCTCAGCGGAGCAGGCAGCTCTTCCTGCCAGCCCGTGCTGGGGTGAGCAGTGGGGTCGGGCCGGGGCTGCCCTGCCCGCGGGCTCTGAGGACAAACACCTGCTGCCCACCGCAGCTCTGCTCTGCCCACTGAGGGCTCCACGCTTCGTTTGTGCCCAAATTTCCTTTGTGAGCCTCACAGCCACCCCACACCAGCACACAACCTCTGCTGAAAATAGTCCAAGGTCGCCCACGCAGTCTTTTCTCCCCTCCCCAGTGGAGCTGATGGTACCTTATTTACTCCTTGTCCTTTACAGATGACTTAATGACAGCATTTTGAACACATTTCAAGCATTTCAGAATGACATGAATAGATGCAAGAACAGGATTTTTGCCAGCAGCACTGATTATCCTTTTGTCAGTAGACAGACGTGACCTGGACCATTCTGTTGCCATAAAAAAAAGTCTCCAGAGGTTGCTAGACAGAGGAGACACTTTGCCTGAGGGAGAAGGGATGAGAGGGAAGAGGCTGGAAGGTGGCCTGTGGAGAAGAGGACAGAGGTAATTAATGGCTATGCCCACGTATAAGATAAGTGCACCAGTAAATGTGTCAGCCCTTGGGCGATGGAAGCCACCACTTCACACAGCACAGTCCTTCACATCAACATTTTATTTATTTCATGTGGGTCTACACGGATCTGTGCTGGATTCAGGGAGGTGTAAATCAAATGGGAATTGGCTGCTCTGAAACTGAAGAGAGTTTTTGAACTGGACTTAGGAAAAAAGTTTCTTCGATGCAATGGATTCTTAAAAGACCAGATGAACTTACACAATTTGTTTTAGTGGGAATCATACCTATGTCAAGACCATAAATGTTTTTCAAATTTAGCTGTCACTCCCGCAACCAAAACCACACATTCTCACTCAAGTACAAACCTGCTGAACTCGAAAAGGCTTTCAGCTTAGTTTCAGCTTCAGTTGTGCAATCTGCAGTTCAGAATTATTACACCTGATGTCTTTTCTGTACAGATTTACAGCAGCAGAAATCCCCTTGAGCTAGAAAGAATTTCTGAAGCCAAGTATCATTTATTTCAATCAGAAATGAAGTACACCCCTAATATCCAGTTCAAACATAGTACATTCCCTCGGTGTAGACTGATTTCAGCACGTCTTCCAATAGTTTATAGCTACAATGAAAGGTATCAAGCTAAAAGTGCATTCAGTTGCAAGTTCAGGGCAATAGAGCTGCACATTATTTAGTTAAACATTTTTAAAAAGATAATATTTTTCGGAAAGGCCATATTTGTGTGTGAATAATATTGAAAGAAGAAACTGAAGGATTCAGAACCAGCTGTGATAATGCAGCTCCTGCCTGCCTAGAGCAGGTCTGGACACATTCCACCTGGCTGACCACCTACAGCATGAACCCATTTACCCTGGCTTGCCTCTGTAATCAGTGGAGCAAGGGAGCCACTCCATGGGAGGAGTGATTCAGACCTTTGGTGTGGTCCATGAATCACCTGCTCCAGGTGCCTGTCTGTTCCCATTGGCTCCAGAGGGAGCCCAGGGCAGCTGCACTCTTGCCGTGGGAGCTGTGCTTGGATGTCTAAAGCAGCATGAGATGAACCTGGCTGTTGGATATGTGTGGGATCAGCACAGCTTGCTGCTGTAGGAAAGCAAGGGAAATGGATGTGGTTGTCCACAGAAATGAGCAGGGCTGTTCCTGGCTTCATTGCTGTGGATTTAGCAGCCCACGGATTGTCTGTCTCAGTAATTTTAACTGGTCTGCAATTCAATTACTGGATTTGCAAGACTGAAGCCTAGAGCTTCAGAGCCATGGCAGCCTCTCAGGGTAGAGAATGATAGAAACACAGAATGGTTTGGGTCAGAAGGGACCTTAAAGATGATCCAGTTCCAACCCCCTGTCAGGGACAGGGACACCTTCCACTATCCCAGGCTGCTCCAAGCCCTGTCCAGCCTGGTCTTGGACACCTCCAGGGGTGGGGAGTCCATAACCTCTCTGGGCAACCCATGCCAGTGCCTTATCACCCTCTCAGCAAAGAATTTATTTCTTATATCTAACCTAAACCCACCTCCTCCAGCCCAAGGCCATTTCCCCTTGTCACTCCATGCCCTTGGCCAAAGTCTCTCTCCATCTCCCTTGTAGGCCTTTTAGGTACTGCAAGGAGCTCTAAGGTCTCCCCAAAACTTTTGTTCTCCAGGATAAGCAATCCCAAATCCCTCAGCCTGTCTTCATTCCAAGAGAAAATAATGCTGTTATTTTTATAACAGCATTGTAATACCTGCCTGTATACA